CCTCCTCCTCCTCCTCCTCCTCCTCCCTGCCAGCGGGAGCGCGCCCACGCGCCCCTCTCACCCCCTCGCAACCCCTCCCGCGCCCGCCGGGAACCCGCGCGCCGCCCCGGAACGGAGAGCTGGGGTGGGGGGGACACGACGGCGACACTCGGGGCACCCCCTGCCCGCCCGCCGCCCCCTGCCCGCCTCGGCGCCGGGAGCTCCCCGTGAGACCCTCCCCGGGCAGCCTCCCCGTGCAGCGCCCACCCCACCGTGCACCCCACTGTGCACATCTCCCCACAACGTGCAGCCGCAGCCCCCCCGGGCACCCCCTCTCCGTGTCCCCATGTGCTTCACTTCGTGTTCCCCCCCTCCCCACCTCCGTGAAGCCACTCTACACCCTCTTGCAGCTTCCCTACCACCTCTTCCGGGCAGCCCCCCACCCATGCACAGCCCCACCGTGTGTACCCCCCACCCCCGTGCAGCTGCAGTCCCCCGGTGCCCCCCTCTCTGTGTAGCCCCTCCACCCGTGCTGCCTGTGCTGCTCTCCATCTCCCCTCTCCATGTACCCATGTGTACCCTCTTGCACTCCCACGACCCCCCACCCTGTGCACCTCTGTTCAACCCCCCTGAAGCCCCCCTCCCTATACATCCTTTCTCTCTGCACTCTCTTGGAGCCCCTCCTTCCTGTCTAAGTACCTCTCTCCATCCACACTGCATCCCACTCTCTTCACCAGCTTGCTGGCTGTCCCCAGTGCAGTCTCCCAGGTCTCTGCTGTCCTGATGCTGCACCCCAAAAATCTCTCTCCCAACTATGCAATGCTTTTCTTCCTTTTATATATTTTCCCCACTTCAGTCTAAATCTTTCCAACAACGCTTGGTGCACTCTTAGCACCCTGCAAGTTGCACCAGGAAGGACATGCATGGACACCCTGACCCCTGGTAGAGCTGGGATCCCCCTCGTTCCTCTCCACTGCCCCACTCCTGATGTGGTTTTAGCCACTTTTTAGATTACTTATGTTTTCAGCCCAGTTTTTCTCCATTCATTACTGGTTCTTGCCCAGAGGCATCTGAGCAACACACGTGGACTTCAATCCCGTGATGCAGGGCAGGATGTCCGGAGCATCCTGAAACTGGGTACTGGCCCAGGGACCATTGTGAGTGATGCTGTTACTGTGGGAGGGGTTTTACCCCAAAAGGAARGACAAGGGTAGGGATGGGGTGACAACAAAAATTGGGGTGGTTGAACTGAATGCAGCTGAGCATCTGTGCTGCTGCAAAAACTGAAGTGCTTCTGCTGGTGGCTTTGTGCTGGGCTGGCATGGAGGGTCTGGTCTGCCTTGGATAGACCCTGTGGGCTCTGTGGAGGTGAAGATCAGCTCATGGTGTCCCTGTGGGTCGAGTTTTCACAGAGTATGTCACAGTGGACATGCTGGGTCAGTGCTCTGCTCCAGCCATGGCCTGGGGAAGTGGCAGGAGCCAAGTGGCATCTCTGCTGTGCTCTGTGCCACTGCCTGGAGTACAGAGGAGGTTYTGGAGATGCTCTGAGGGCTGGAGCACTTCTGCCGTGGAGATGGGCTGAGGGAGCTGGAGAAGAGGAAAGAAGGCTCTGAAGAGACCTCAGAGCCCCTTTCAGTTCCTAAAGGGGCTCCAAAAGCTAGAGAGGGAGTGCTGTATTGCATCTATTGCTGATTTATTAGAAATGCACACTTTGAAATAGTTTCCAGATGTCACTGTTTCTGCGGGCTTGACGTGCTTTTTTAATTTGATGGTTTTTTTTCCTGTGTGACTTTGGAGGAGGGAAGAGTCCCTGTTTTACTGTGGAGGAGACAGTGACAAGCTCCTCCAACAGTGTGAAATCGTGAGATAGTTTGAAATACATTTGGAAATGCACCTTCAGACTGAGTATCTTCATAGAGTTTGTGTTGGATGCCAGGAACGCTTTTTTTTGCACCTCTTTCACACTCTGCCCTTCACCCCAGTGCCACCCATGCCCATTATTCCCACCCAGYCTGAAGAGCATGTGTTGGGTTGAGCTTCCCCTCATCCCTCCCCCTGGGATGGAGCATTTGKGGATGAGGAAATCATCACTCCTTATAAGTGTGAGGTCCCTGCAGTCCCTTCTCTTTGCTCCCACCACACCAATTATCCTTCCATACCTAAGTTCAGCAGGGAGATCTTTTGACACAGAGCTTCCCCTCATTCCTCCACAGGCAGCTGGTGCCCGAGGGCTCTCCCGCTCCTGCTGCGATGGCGACGCCGGACGTCAGCGTCCACATGGAGGAGGTGGTGGTGGTGACCACGCCGGATGGTGCAGTGGATGGTGGTGGCATGGAGGAGGTGAAAACAGTGCTGGTCACCACCAACCTGTCCCAGCACGGGTAAGAAATGGGTCAGTRCATTCTGAGGAGGTGTGCTGGAAACCCTCCCACACGTGGCTCTAGTCAGCCAGGCTGGGATTTGATTCCCCACTGCTTCCTCCTGCATCACTGCTCACTATGGGGACCTCAGTGGTGTCTGGGGTGTGTCTGGTTCCTCCTTAAAGCTTCCCTGACCCTGGGACCATACYCAGGGCTCTGCAGCTCTGAGCAGAAGTGGCTTTCCTTCTTTTGAGGAGGAAAAAAACCACAACCCGGAATACATTTTTGTGAGTGCATGTGGATGTTGGAGTGGACACAAATCCGGTTGAAACAGGACACCAGTAGCTAAATCAGTGTTTTTCTGCTATTTATTTTATAATGGCTTTGTTAAGCTCTGAAGTCTAAGAGAGGAATCTGTCCATATCAGGTTGAGGGTGGTGCAACTGAACCTGATGTGGGGAGGTTTGGGGTTGTTTTTTTGACCGAGCTCTGCAGGAACYTCCACTGCCAGCAACAGGAGTGAGAGAGGTGTCTTTGAAACCTTGCAGGCCTGAATGGAGAGACACTGCTCAAAAAACCAGAGTGAACATATCTGATTGGTAAAGTGCTGCAGCTTTGCGTAGTTTCTTCCTTTTTTGTTGGCGTTTCAGGTTTGGGGCTGCTCTTTGATCAAGCCTGGTCTTTTCGGTGGCAGATTGGCMGTGACCAAAGAGTCTGGCTGGTACCTTGAAGGCCCCTGAGGCAATGAGCTATTTGCTTTATTTCTCTATGGTTTTTTGGGTGGGACAGAGCCCAGAGCCATTTTTGTGCCTTGTTCTTTTAGTGGGCAGAAAATCCAGGTTCACACCTGGAGCTGGAACTGGGCAGGTTTGTCTGAAATAAGTGGGTGTTCAGTGGCTGTTTATTGCTCTCCACAAGATGTTTGCCTCCTTTTCTCAAATATGTCTTTGTGTCAGTGCCCTGGGGCTTTGGGCAGGGCAGAAGGTGACAGGATTTGTTTCAGTCTGGGTGCCATTAGCCCTGTGCTGCTCCAACTGAGATAAAGCCCATTAACAGATAAATTTTTGTTACAGAATGGGCAGGGACAGACAGAGGTAAGGGCTGTTTGTTGATGCTGGGATGGGCAGGATCTGCCCTGCTCTTCCTCCACAAGCTGGATCTGTGAGTGTTTCCAAGAACCTTTTCAATTCCCAAAAGATCAGTTATGGTGGCGAAGAAGGGTTCTGCTCGTCTTGCTTTCTGTCCCATAGAGATTCCCGTGTCTCCCTCTGAGGGGAAGCAGCCAGGTGTGACACTCGGGATGTGGCTGCTCTCAGATGCAGAATGGTTCCTGGTTGTAATGTGGCTCTGAGCCTCTACAGACTCATGTGCAGCATTGTGGTGTTGTCTCGGAAAATGATCACACCAGASACTGGCTCAATCGGTTGGTTTCCTTTCACTCTTAGTTCCCTACCTGTTTTTCTTTGGAAACCTTTTCTCACCCTCCCAGTGTCCCCTGGATTGTCAGGAGCAGGACAGCTCCATGCAGCACAGAGAGGAATGCTTTCATTTAATCGCAGCTATGAGCAGAGATGCCTTGGCAGATATGAAGAGATTCCCTGAGAGTTTTCCATGCATCTTGCTGGAGGAGGGCCTCTGGACATGCTCTTTRTTCCCCTCTGCTTGGGGATGGTGGTGGGTCAATGGAAAGGATGTGGATTTTGGGGTCACAGAGTAAAACCTGCCTGCCTCCCCTCGCTGAGCAAGGCAGTAGGGCTGGTGGGGGCTGGCAGCACAAGGCACCCACGGTCTCTGTGTGGCTTTGGATAATTGCCTTCACCAGGCTCTGCTCTTCCTGCAGCAATGCCACAGTGGTCCTGGCTCTGCAGCTCCAGCTGGCGTCAGGAGAGCAGCTGCAGGCACAGGCTGGGGTCCCTTTGTGTTGGCTCAGTCACCACTCACACGGGGAGCTTTCAACTTGCCTTATGTGGCACTGAAACCAAGCTCAGCTTGGGGGTTGGTGCCTTTTTCTAGTGCTCATCTGGGTATGGGTTTGCTATTAAAAAAACCTTCTATACAACCAATTGTTAAGAGCTTAATTAGTTCATGTGTTCTTAAGGAGAAGGCTGAGGGAAATGGAAAAATAACAAYGAGCAAGAAGCTTTTCTCTTTGGTCTGCAATAGGATGGGATCTGTGCTTGTATTTCTGATCAGCATCCCCAGCACAAGGTTCTGAGGGAGACTTTTCTCTCTCAAGTTTCCAGGCAAGGCAGGAGCAGAAAAGAAAGGAGATGCCAGCCCACTGAGTTATCTGCACGTGCTTTCTTCTCTTCCTTCCATCTGGTTTATGGRTCCTCCTGGGGAGGAAGATGAGAACCATCCTCCCCTGCCTTCGTCATGGCAACTGGCAAAGGCAGGACCAGCTGGGGGGCTGCACTGCTGGGACTTGGAAGGTGTTTGTGTTTTCTCTTGCATCTGCCTCAGTCTGTTTCCCTGGAATGGGATGGGAGAAAAATGTAGAGACACTCGCCTTTTTTGTGGTTTTCTCTCCCCCACATGTCCATGGCAGATGCAGATTTCAGTTGCTCGATTTTTTCATACAAGCTGGGAGTTGGTTTGTTTGTTTTCCTCTGGAGGTTTAAGGCGTAGGCTGGATTATTCCTCCCCATCCAGTTGTGCCTTTTGGTCATTTTTTGGAGTGGTGCAAATGCGATGGACTCCTGGARGAAGCTCTGAAAGGCGCTGACTTTCTGCTGGGGGGTTTCTTCTGGGGGTAAGTTGGTGGAGGTTCTTGATCTGGAGGAAGGTCAGGGTCAGGGCTGTGGGGTGCTGGGCTTTTCATGCACCCTGCTGAGATCATTCTGCTGGTTTTTCACCAGGAGAAATGCAAGAACCTAGCAGCAAACTGATGAAAATGAACTGAATTCTTCTGTCACACTGCCACTTCTGTAATAACCACCTGTGTGCAAATGCCTTAGCTCAGAATTTACCTTTTTGAGTCCTTTCACGTTACCTTCCCCACACCAGAGGAGGGCTGGTGGTCACTGTAAGCTGCAGAGGCAGCATGATGTCCATTCCCKTCTGTCACACAGGAGCTGTCCCCCTCTCCTCTGGAGCAGCATCTCCAAGTCACTCACCTGGTGAGGCCGAGCTGCTGCCTACACTGTTCCTTATCTCTGTGCTGCTCCCCACAGGTACCTGCCCTGCAGCTGCCGAGGGGAGGGATGCTTTGAAGCTGCAGTTCCACCCTGGAGCTGTGTGTTAGGAGCCCAGAATGGAAAAACCAGTTGCTCTTGAATTTCCTTGTCCCTGTGGCACCGCGGGTGTAATATGAGGTTGCCAGTGAGTCACTAGGACTGTCTTTCAATTTACCCATGGTATCAAACTGAGGGAGGTTTCAGGTTTATTTTCTCTGTRCAGTCTTTCTAGGGAGTTTAAATGYCACAGTATGTGAAAAGCTAATTKTATTTCTCCCCCTGCCCCTTCAGGTCAAGCTTTCTGCAGCAGCTAGCTTCAGTAACAACACCAAAAGCACATCTTATGGTGGGATCCATAAGGGCACCAATGTGGGCTCCTTCTGTCCCTCCCTTCAGGACTTCACTCCAAAGCCAAAGGGCTGAGGAGCATGTCTGAAATCACAGCTAGAAGTGCCTGTTCCCTTTAAATGGGCACCGATGCCCCTTGGAGAGCCTTGGGGCTCCATATTGTCACAGTGAGAGCTGGGATGGGAGAACAGCGAGGGAGTGCTGCTGTGCAGGACCCACTGTGCAACTCAGGCAAAGCACCCTGAGAAGATGGAGATCTCAGTGCAGGGACAATGGAAGCAGTAGGATAGYCAGCTATTGATGAATATCATGGATATATCAAGTTTTAAGAGGCTCAGAGACTGGATTGCAAGTGTTTATAGCTCATGTTATGTTATCTCTGCTCACAGATCTGGTGTTGGGGTTTGTCCAACTCTTTTATGGTGTCTCTGTGGCTCCGTGAGGTCGTGCTCCCCAGAGCATCCTGCATTCCAGGGGATTCAGCCAGTCCATTGCCCAGACAGCAGCAGCGTGTTTCACACATGTTTTTCCTGGGGAAATCTSAGACAAAGCTGCCAAAGGTTGGCAGTGACTTCTGAGCAAGGGGCTGTGCTGACTGCATCCCTCCATGCCAGCTCTCCAGCACGGGCTGGGCTGGAGGCAGATCCACAGGGATTAAAGGGGAGGCCAGAGAGAGCTGGCCAGGCTGCTGACAGGGGCCTGCCTGCTGTGTGGCTCTTAATCTCCACATGGAAAAACAGAGCTGAGCCTCCCAAACCCAGAGCTGACTCTTAGCTCTTGTGGGAAAATGTGATCCAAGGGACATCTGAGGCAATGTCTCCACAGGGCATCGGGTGTGGGGGTGGCACGGCCACATGGCTTAAGAATGCATCTGCCTCTCTTCCCAGTGGTGACATCAATGAAGACACTCTGGAGACTGAAAATGCAGCTGCTGCAGCTGCTGCTGCTTTCACAGCCTCTACACACCTGAAGGAAGCAGTTCTAGGTAGGTCAGCTCCTTCCACAGCCCCTTGGTGCCATCTCCTCCACCCCAGTGAGCCGCAGTCCTGTGCTGGTGCTGGGTGGGACAGTTCCAGCACTGTTGTGCAGAGCTGCTGGCATTTTGGGGATGTTCCCCAGTGGCCCTGGGGATGCTCTCCCAGCRGTACCAGGAATGTTTCTCAGGATCCAGGGGGGCTTGGTGACCAGCAGGGAGCTGGCGGCAGCTGGCTGGGCTGCTGCTGCCCTCTCCTGGTCCGGGATGAGTCCCTGTGTCCAGCCAGCCCTGGCTCTTGCTACGGGGATGASACTTTTGCAGCAACTTGCTGGCTTTGCTTGCAAAGTAGAAGTGAATTTAGGGAGCCAAGATTGTGACCATCTGGGGTGGAGTTGTTTTAAAGCCGGTTTTACTTTAAAACCAAGGGTGACTTCACCCAATAGCATCATCCCTTTCATTTTTATCAAGAATTGTTGRCTTCTCATATTCTCTCTGCTCAACAGCAGCTGGATTGGCGTAAATCTGCCTGAGCTGTTTTGCCTGTTTTTTTGGTTTTTTTTTTTGTGAGTTCCAAAACTTTATCACTGCATGTGTGCCTTGGGCATGTGCATCAGGGGCTGTTTCTCATGTTTCTCTTTGATCTGTCCCTTCCTCTGATCCCTGTGAGAAGTGAAGATGGCTGAAGATGAGGACAGTTTGGAGGCAGAGATTGTCTACCCCATTACCTGCGGGGACAGCAAAGCCAACCTCATCTGGAGGAAGTTTGTGTGCCCTGGAATYAATGTGAAGTGTGTGCAGGTGAGAACAGAGGGCCATTCACTGGACTTGTATTACCCCTTGCCCACATTGTGAGCTCAYCTGGCTTGTCCTGGCTCTGGTGAGCTTTGGTCAGCTGCTTTGCATTAGAATCATGTCRTGGTGGGAAAGGAGGACATTTTCCTGGTGCTGGGGTACCTGATATTTGTTTTTACCAAGGTGAACAGTTCTGGCTGGAGAGGTGGTGGCTCAGTTTAAGGTGTTGTTGGAAAGTTTCTGGGCCCTTGCCAAAGAAATTTGGGCACTTGTGTCTGCTAAGTTGGAAAGTTGATAGCTTGAAGAAAGTATTGACTGGGGACCTACTGAAGAGTAGCTGCTGTGTTCTGGGTAACTCATTAAAATTTGCATGAGTTCAGAAACACGCCATGAGTGAGTCATTGCTGGCAATTGCACGCAGCCTAAGCAATACCCTGCTGAAGGAGAGTCTTCTTGGGTTCCCAAAGGATGGTCCTTGCCCTTCCCAGGAGAGRTGGCCTGCTCTATCCCTGTGGCAGAGGGTAGATGCTGCTGCAGGTAATGCTGCTGCCACCTAAAGTCTGTCCTCTGCACTGAAGCCCTTGTCCTTGTCCAGAGAAGCAGTTTCTCAGCGCTGAATTGTGCTATGTTGATCAACATGGACATGGAAAAGAGGAGGCCTGGATTTGGGAAATCCTTTGAAATGGGCTGTAAGGCAGCTCCCTTACAGAATTGCGTGGTTCATGGTTGGACTCGAGTAYATTGGAGGTTTTCTCCACCCTTAGTGATTCTGTAATTCTATGATCCTGCAGGTTGCTGTTAGGTCAGCACGTGGGTTCAGGCACGGCTGGGTGTGTAGGGCAATAAAAGAAARGGAAAGAGTTGTCACAGCATGTGCCAGCTCCCTGAAGCTGGTTTTCAGTAGCAGTGGGTGTGCACTGCCAGAGAGGCCAGAGGTTCCCTGATACCACTGGTTGGGCTTGGGAGCAGGAGGTCAAAGACCAAATGGACTTATTCCCTTTCCCCTATGGGGTGTAATGTGCCCCTGGACCCAAGTGTTACCAGTGCAGCCCAGCTTTCACCGAGTCCATAGTTTGGGAGTGTGAGCAGCTCCCTGCTGTTAATGATAGTTTGCACAAGCTATGRGTGTGTTTTCCCAGCTCTCCTGCCTGAGCTGGGCACTTCCAAACTCACATACCCCGGAACCCTTGACTTGGAGCAGCTGTTAATTCACCAGCCATGCCAGCAGTGTTTGTCTTTAATCTGTTTAACGTGGGCAGTGTCCTCTGGGGTGGGGAGTGCCTGTCAGCCATCTGTTTTGGTGGTGTTGAGTGGCACGTGGAGGCTGCACTGCAGCCACTGCTGGGCACCTGGAAACGCCACCAGGCTCCGGCTGAACCCTGCTCACAGTGCACCTTTGGCTTGTTTATGGCTTGTGGCACTGATGTTGTACCCCTGCCTTTTGCAGTTTGATGATCACCTAATCAGCCCCAAGGAGTTTGTTCACCTGGCAGGCAAGTCGACCTTGAAGGATTGGAAGCGGGCGATCCGGATGAACGGGATCATGCTCCGGTTAGTCCCTTCCTTGTATCTCTGGACACTTCTCTCTGGGGGATTGTGGTGGGGTGGAACAGAGCGTTTGGAATGGTTATTTTGCTGCTGAGGGAACTAGCAAACCACTAAACATTTGTCTTAATGACAGCCTGGCCCCAAATGTGGTGTGTCCAATGGCTTTGTTCTGTCCYTGTGCCTAGGGAATAATTTGGGGCAAGAAATATTTCTCTGGTCTTTTCAGGACTTGAGCCACACTCAGTTTCCAGCTGATGCAAGGACATTGGAAATTTTAGTGGCCATTGGTGGTTAGGCCATGCTGCCTGTGGATTCTCAGCATGACCCACCAAATGAAATCAGTCTGGTCATCACTAATGCTCTGGTAGCAGCACTTCTGCTTGACATCACTTTTAAATAAATCCTTGCAAAAAAAACCCCAAACTTCTTTATTGCAAGCATTTCTCTTCTCTAGTCTTAACTACAGTAATTCAATTCTTCTATGGTCCTCCTGAACACCAGCCTGAGATTGTGATTTAATTAAAGTCTGTCTCTGCCTTTGGGCAGGATAAAAAAAAAATCACCTCTTTCCTCAGGATCTGTCAGCGGTTTTGTGCTCTTTTCACAGGGTGACATTGCCTTTCCCTGTATTCTTCTGCTTCAATGCAGGCATCTCCCATATTCCTTTTAAGCAGCTTTTACTCCACGTAAATTTTGCATAATAGGCTTAGGATTTGTCATGGCAGGGCTTTGAGTGGGGAGGGGGAAAATTCAGGAGGAATGTCTGAAAGCAAACCTAGCAACTCATGGGAGCAAATCTCGGGAAGCTCAGGTGGTTGTTGACCAGCAAGGCCTGAGGATGCTTTGGAGAACATTCTTGGATGAGAAGGTCCCCTGTGCTGGTGTTGCCATCCTCTTTGCTTGAGATGAGAGACCTGATTTTGGTTTATTAAGTAAGGTTATGCCCTGTCTCTTTTTGAGCTGTAGAGTCAAAAAGGGAAGGAGGAGGCTCCCTGCAGTCTCACCCAGGGCTGGTACTCCAGCTGACCCTTTGGCTGGAAGCTGCAGCTGCAGAGGGATGTGCTGGTGCAACCACATAGGGGCTCTCTCTTCCCCTTTCTCAAGAAATAAGTTAATTAGTCCCAGTAAGGGCTCCTGTTGGCTCTGCTTGCTCTCCTGGCTTTTTGGGACTCAGAAGTTTGGGGTAAAGGCTGCCAGGAGCTGCATYTCAATAGCTTTTCACTCTTGTTKATGTACCTGTCCTTGTGCTTGCTCYCTGTCTTTCAGGAAGATCATGGACTCAGGAGAGCTGGATTTCTATCAGCACACAAAGGTCTGTTCCAACACCTGCCGGAGCACCAAAATTGACCTGACTGGAGCCAGGGTGTCCCTGACCAGCCAGACATCGACAGAGTACATCCCTCTGACTCCTGCCTCTGCTGATGGTACGTGCAGCTATTCCTCACCCTCAGCAGGGCCTTTGACGCATCAAAGCACATGAGTGCCACACAGCCAAGGTCCCTGTGGCTGCTCCATCCCTGGAAGTGTCCAAGGTCAGGGTGGACAGCACTGGCAGCAATCTGGTCTAGTGGAAGGTGTCCCTGCCCATGGCAGGGGGTTGGAATTAGATGAGTTTTGAGGTCCCTTCCAGCTCAAACCATTCTCTGATGTTCTAAATTTGACCTATAATTACAGGCAACTGTTTCATTGGAAAGCTTTCTAATTTTGAAGTACTTCTATATTTAATTCCTTTTGCTCCTGAGCATTGAGAACAGCCCCCAAAGTGCCCCACACCCCATGCTCCTGCTGGTGCCTGTGGGACAGGATAAGCCCCTCAGACAGCTCTGCAGAGCACCCATCCACCACATCCTGGTATTCTGGTGGGGAAGCTGTTTCTAATGCAYAGTGCTGCCTGCTCCAARCCCTCCTGTTAAACATGAACTCACYGATGTGAGACACTTCCTATGATGCTGGGCTGTGCTGGAATAACCAGAGCCCTGAGTGCTGCAGAATAAAGGAGCACAGGGACTGGATTTAATGGCTGCAACTGAGCATTCCAAATGCTCTGCACAGCTCTGTGGGGCTCTGGCCAGATTCCCATCCATCCCGCTCCTGTGCACGGCATGAATGACGCCTGTTCCCCGGCTCTATGGTAACAAGACTGCTGAGATTTGGCAGAGCTGGAGGGAAGGAGGGATGCCCCCTGCATCCCTGTGCATTTGGGGACTGCTCTCCACTTGGAGGCTTTAGAAACCCTCCAGACAAGCAGTGGCTGGGTAAAAAAGGGCTGCCAAAAAAAAATCAGACTCTAAATCTGACTTTTGCTCTGAGTGGTGTTGGTTCACAGGGGAGAATGGAAGGGAAATGCTGCTCTCTGGCATGTGTTCCTGTGCTGCAAAGGTTGCAGGAGTAATCCCTGGGGATTGCACTCCAATGTAGAAAAATAAGTACAGCTGTCACAGCAACCACTTGGGTGTCTCTGTTCAGCATTGAGAGCTGCATTCAAACAGATGTGATCCTGTGCAATATAAAGGAGAAGTCACAGGAATGCAGCAAGGGAGTGCTTCCCTTGGAAACAGCCTGTGAAAATACAGGGAAAAATCAGGACTTGGGAATTTTTTTCTCTTCTTTTTTCCTATTGGTTGCAGTGAACGGATCCCCAGCTACAATAACCATAGAAACATGCGAGGATGCCAGCGATTGGAGCACGAGCATTGGAGGTATGGCCTGGGATCCCGCAGGGCTTGCTGGGTGGAGGACGTGGGGAAAGAGGGAAGCAGCAGGGTAAGGAGCAGGAAGGACTGTCTTACCAGAGCAGCCTTGCATGAGCCTCCACTGGGATTATTCCTTTGATGCTTATGGAATTGCACTGTCTTATGTCCCACCAGYGTGCAGGCAGGCTGCAGCAGCCTTGGGATGGAGCTGTTTCCAAGCACTAAGATGTAAAAGCCAGGGCCAAATGTGGCTTTAGGGGAAAAAAAAAAATCTATCAGAGGGGTCATGAAATCATTCTCCTTGCTGTGCACTGAGCAATGGACTTTGCTGGAGCGAAGTGTCATGTTGGTGTGGGTCAAGGGTGGGAAGCATGTGTCCTCCTTTGGGTCCATGCTTTGGGTGGGCTTTGCCCCCAGGCCCCTGACCTTGGCAGGTCTGGCAGGATTGCACCCCTGCAGGTCTATCCTCAGGGAACACACAACAGATTATTAACATTAAACCCTGCCAAGGATTTTGAGGTTCTGCCTTGCTTTCTCTTTCTCCAGATGACACCTTTGCTTTTTGGCAAGGTCTGAAGGACACTGGTCTCCTGGAAGAAGTGATTAATGAGTTCCACCAGGAGTTGGTGGAGACCATGAAGGGCTTGCAGCAGCGAGCACAGGATCCCCCACTGCAGCTYGGGGGTAAGGACCTGGACACACGTGGTCAGTCATCTTAGGAGAGCGACTTGTGGATTTGTTTATCCTTAGGAATATCTGGATGGCACGATGGGGACATAGCTCATCATAAAAAAATCTCATTTCTGGCTGCTTCCTAAGCAGGCTGCTCTTGGGGATGCTTCAGGTGACCCAAGTTCTCCAATTCYGTGTGCCTGGGGCTTCCTCTCTGCTGGCTCTGGGTCTGGACAAGTGCTTGGCTGGGGAGCTGAGGTRGAATTTAGGCCATTGGAATAACGATGCAGCAAGCAGCTACTGTGCCAGCAGATTTCTTATCACCCCTGCTAGGCAGGAGAGGACTGTTTATACACTGGTGACCTGCTGCCCTTTCTCATGGCTTCTGCCTTCTCCTCTTCCCCAACCTCTTGTGTTACCCTCTGGCAGATTTTGGCTGTCTCAGCTGGCCSTGTTTGTTGTCACGTGGCTTTTGCCAAGCTGCAAATAGTTTGTGCAGGGATTTTGCTTCCTCAAAGTTTCTGTGTCTTGTTTTTAAGATGCTGTTTTACTCAACAACGTAGTCCAGAACTTTGGGATGCTGGATCTGGTCAAGAAGGTTCTGGCCAGCCACAAGTGCCAGATGGATCGCTCGAGGGAGCAGTACACACGGGATTTGGCAGGTACGCCCTGGACACACTGGTTGGCACCAGGCATCACTGCCAGTGCCCTTTTAGGCTAGGAATGTGGGGTTTGCATTAAAGCTGGTATTTGCTGAACCAGCCACACCAGGCATTGCCACAGGCCCTGGGAAGCTTGTCCAGGATCCAGGCTGAGCCAAGCCTCCTCTCTCTGCAGCTCTGGAGCAGCAGTGTGACGAGCACCGCAAGCGAGCAAAAGAGCTGAAACACAAATCGCAGCATCTCAACAACGTCCTGATGACCCTCACACCCGTTTCTGTTCCCACACCTCTGAAACGCCCCAGACTGACCAGGGCCACCTCTGGACCAGCTGCCATCACGTCCCAAGTGCTGTCCCAGCCGGCGCAGCTCGCYGTCACCCCCGGCGTGCCGGTCTCCCAGATTGCCAACCTCCCTCTCGGCAAAGTGGTCTCAGCCCTCCCGCCTTCAGTGCTGGGGAAGAGCCCAGCCCAGCCACCCGCTGCCAGCTCCCCAGCCTCCCCTCTGCTGGGGGGGTACACGGTGCTGGCCTCTGCCGGCTCCACCTTCCCCAGCACGGTGGAGATCCACCCGGACGCTTCCAACCTGACGGTGCTGAGCACRGCCGCGGTCCAGGACGGCAGCACGGTGGTGAAGGTGGTGAGCCCCTTCCAGCTCCTGACGCTGCCAGGACTTGGCACGACCATCCAGAATGTGACACAAATAGCTCCCAGTGGGAGCACAGTCGTGACTGTCCCGTCTAGTGCCGCTGAGGCCACCGGGGAYGAGCACGCTGCCGCCGCCATCGAGGTGACTGCAGTGGCTGATGAGGCGGAGCAGAAGTGAGAGGGGGGACTTGCCTGGAGGGACGCTGGCCGTGCCACTCTGGGGGGAACTGCCTCTTCTCTGGCTGCRCTGTGGGACGAGGAGCGGTGTCAGGAGGGGCACGGGCTAACAAGACTCAGAGCAGCTYGTGTCTGAGCAAGGAAGCTCAGGTCAGAGGGAAGGAGGGGGGAGGAAGGATGACCAGAGAAGGGAAAGGCAGAAATGCCCTGCCTTGTTTGGAGGAGGGAAGAAAGAAAGAGTTTATTTTTCTATAAAGCTTTCCTCCCCTGTTCTCTTGGAATAGTTTTCCTGCTCTGGGTYGTCAGCTCAGCCTCGTTGGCAGACACAGCTGGAGCAGTATCCATTGGAGAAGTGAGCAGGAGCAAGAAGAAGGCGGCAGCAAAAGGAAGCTGCTGAGGGGTCTGGTGTGCAGGGAGCTGGCTGCTCCCCATCCGTAGGGGCTGCAGGAGCAGAGAGGGATGCCAAGAGCAGGAATTCCATGGATGTGTGCGATCACTGACGCCAGGAAGGGCTCTGGCAGCGTAGGCACAGGTGCCGGGAGGTTGGGTTTTGTGTGTGACATTGGCTTTGGGTGGCAGAAAAAGTGGGAGCTGTTGCAACAGTGGTCGTGGTGGCCCAGGTCTGCTGGGGAAGGAGTGGGAAGAGGAAAACTCAGAGGGCTGGGTGAGAAGAGCTGTGACTTCTGAGGATTTTGGGTCTTTTTCTAGTTTTCTCAAAAAAAAAAATTCCATTTTTGGGGATTTTTTTTAAGCCAACAGTGATTTTTAAGCAAAGCCCTGGTTGGGAAGCTCATTCTGCATGGCAGAGCCATGCTGCGGAGCGTACAGAGCTGAACCCCACAGCCACRCTCCAAGGAGCTCACACTTCCTCACGAGGGGGRACCCTGCTGTCCCCAGTCCCCAGCACCCCATGGGAGCTGCCATTCCCTCCCTGCTGGGTTCAAGCAGCTGTTCTGTAAGGGGTGCTCGACCCCCAGTTCTCCTTCAGCCACCCCACTCRCTGTGACTGATCAGGTCCCAGCCCTGGGCCTGTGTGTCTCGTGCTGGCTCTGGCTGGAAGGAGTCGGGTGCTTGGAGTGTTGGGGTTTCTCCAAACTTGATCTGGCAACAGCAACAACAACAGGTCACTTTATTGAGCTAATAAATATTTTTTTTGAAGAATGTTGCTGGTTTAATGTGTTTTCTGTGTCCCGGCGTGACAGCTGGGGTTGTGAAATGGGGCTAAGGCAGGACAGGAACACACTTTCTTAAATCTAAATGTACGTGTCCTCTGTGCTCCCTCTGGCCGTGGGTGTGCAAGGAGCCTGAAATGCAGCTCCAAAGTCTGATTGTCCGTGCACAGCCTGGCTGCACCCAGTGCTGATAACCACCAGTCCCTAACCTAYGTTTAGGACAGCTCTGACACGTAATCAGGAAGAAAAGTGATCTATTCCTCTGAATTAGATTTTGTTTCGTTTTTGCCGAGACTGAGCTGGGGCTGCACTTGAGGAGGAGGAGCCCTGTCTTATCAGAGACTTTTCCCTCCCAGCTGGCTGCTGCTAAGATATCACCTTCATATCTCTGTACTTGGGACAGCAGTAGCGTGTCAAACCGAGAACATATAAAGGGTTGTGATCACCCTGAGCYGCCTTTTGCCTCTCCAGCGTGAGCAGCAGTACCGAGCCACACCTGAGGTGTATTTCCAGCCCAAATTCCCCCAGTCCTGTGCTGTGACGGTGAGTGAAGATTCYTCTGTGCCACAAGGGCACTTTCCCCAGCAGTGCTGGGGCTGGAAAGCTGTGGTGCCTTTGCCCAGCCTTGGAGAGCTGTGGGCTGATGATCCTGCTCCAGCCATCTCTGCTTTGGACAAACTCATCCAGGTTATCCGGGGGCTGTTGGAGAGGRAATGTCCAGATAGAAAGGGGACAGRTGRAGAGACCTCTTAGCTCCTCTTTAAGGGTATTGGAGGGGTGGCATCGGAGCATGGGGTGGGACGGATTTGTGTCAGCTCTGTGTTGGTGTGGTGCAGCGGTGGGCAGCGAGAGCAGAGCAGGCAGGAGGCAGCAGTTCTTTGGCTCCGTGCACCTTTACCTGCCCTGAAGACTGTAGATCACCTCACCGGCAAAGCATTCCCAGCGTGGGTGTACTTTGCCCTGCAAAGCAGCTCTTCCTCGAGATGTAAACAGCCTCTCCAAGCAATAAAAGCTCTGCAGGCAGATTTGGGCTGGTGAAATCCTCCCCTCCCTTTGCAGCAGCTCTTGGGGCAGCCAGTCATGGGGGTGCCGATGGGGCAGCCCTGTGTCCCTCCAGAGGCCGCCTGGGATGTTCAGGGATGCCCCGGTGATGTGCTCCTCTCCTGGGGTGGCTGTGCAGCTCCCGAGGGTGCCGCGRTGCTTCCCCGCCCTGCCGAGGGCAGCTGAGGGCTTGCAGAGTCAGCAGCTCGTGGTAGGATGAGGGCTGCGAAGGAAAAGCAAAGAAGGGAAGTTGTCTGCAGTTGTATACAGAGATTATCAGTGTCTGGATGAGTGGCCTTGGGCTGGATGCGGCSGTGGGGCATTGAGCAAGATGCCCTGGCCGGGGGGGAAGTCCCTTGTGAGTGAGGCGGTAGATCTTGGTCCAGCAGCCCTGTTTTCAGCAGGGTGGTAAAGAATTGTTCATGGAGAGCACGCCCCACCTGTGGATCACTCTGCCAACCGCGCTGAGAACCGGGGTGCTGCAGGGGGACCCCCCAAGCCCTCCATCACAGCGAGCTCCCAGGGCTGCGGTGGGTATTGTGCACCCCACGAATGGGAAATTGTAGTGGATTCCACTGCTCAACTTGCTCTGTGAGCCTGGGGTCGTCTCTGGGCAGGGCTGGGGTTCTTAGCACCCACTCTACCAGCCTGGAGCTGCTGGTACTGSCTTCCTGGGGTCCCTTGGGTGCTCCCCTTTCCTCCCGTGGGGAGCCCGGGGTTGCTCCTCTCACAGCCGAGCGCGGAGCACTCGCACCCAGAGACAGAATTACATAAGGGCTGAGGATGACTCATGCCAAGTTCTTGGTTTCCCCTGAATTGTGTGGCGATGGAGACTCAGCCACTCGCATTTTCTCCTCCAGGTATCCACAGGAGCAGACTGCAATACCTGGGAAAGAGCAAAGGCTCCCTATTCCCAAGCATCTCAGAGTCGCCTTGCCATGGTTCTGCCTGTGAGGTGCTATAGAGGGGAGGGCTGTGACAAATCACCAATTCCTCACTCTCTGCGTCCCTTTGCATGTTAGGGCTGTTACCGGGACAGGAGATGCTCCAACATCCATGCGGGAAGGCTCTCCCAGCTCCCAGCAACTTCCTCGGACAAGTGCGGGGTGTGCAGGCACAAAGGGAGGCGTGTCTGGCGCTGGGCCGGTGAACAGGAGCGGTGGTTTCCTGGGGAAACCGCTCCGTGCCTGTCGGCCGTGTCGCCGCAGGAATGGAAACCGAAACTCAGGGCTTTCGACTTAGTGTTTGTTAGTCTAAAATCGGCAAATCCTGGGTTTCGGCTCTCCCCCGCCCTAATGCTGTGGATGTGGTGACGCAGCTTTGCCTCCTCCCTGCTCCAACGGTGGTTTCCTGTGCTCTGCTGCCAGCGATGGAGGGACAGCAGAGCCGGCTGCTCCCTGGGCTGCCCTGCTGCTTCTGGCTCCTTGTTGTGTGTTGAGCAGAGCCGGAAGTTTTATGTAACAGAGTGAGAGCTGTTTGCTTCTTTTTCTGGAGGGGAAATATCCCACCTGTAAAATCAGTGAAACCTCCRGTTATCCCACCTGTGAAACCGGAGTGAAAACTCAGTGCCAAGGCTGCTCTGCCTGGGTGAGCTGGGCACTGCCTGTCCTGGCTCAGGCATCTCAGGGGAGTAGTTCCAGCTATTTTGTTTGTTTTTCCCTGCTGTCTGATGCTGTCACAGASAGCTTTGCTGTGGTTTAGAGTCAGGGCTGCAAAGAGGATGACTCCTGCCCAMAGGCAGTACAAAGTGGGGATGCACTCCACCACCATGGAACACTCTGATACCAGGGCTGAGCCTGGCTTGGTCACCCATTCCCAGGCGGGTATGGGGCCCGGGTGCTGCCAAACCTTAACAGTTCCCATGGCAGCTGCAAGGACAAGGCTGGGAAGCCCTTTGCTGGCTGGGAACACTGAGCATGGAGTCTCCATGGGGTCAGCTCCTGCTGTGGGGCTGAGCCACCCCCTGCTCCTCACTGACAGAACACAGAGTGCATGGAGCCTGGCAGCTGTTCAGGTGGCCATCCCACCACAGGTCCTGCAGTGACCTGGTGGTTTTGCTGCCCAGGATGCCTGGTTTCCACAGCCACCCAAGTGCTCTGGTGGGATCCATCCAGTGCCCTCTGTTCCGCAGAGTCCATTCAGCACCCACTGCTCCAGTGGGATCCATTCAGCACCCACAGGCCTGGGCTTGGTGGCAAAACCCTTTGTTGGCTCCCCAGGTTGCTGCTGGATGGGAGCAGGGTGAGAGCTCCCCCTGAGCCACCCAAAGGCTGTGACTGCACAAGCAGGAAGGTCAAAAACATTATTTCCCTTCCTCCTTCCACTTGTGTTGACAAACATGCCAGAAACCGGTCTCTGCCACTCCTTCCTCCCTGCTCCACGGCCGGCGTGCCCCATAGGCTGGTTCTCAGTGTTTCCTCCTCCCATTTGCTTTGAGGAAAAACTTTCCTTTTGTCGCTAAGGCTGGCTTTGTRTTGAGGTGGCACCACCAAGCACGACGTGCCCATCAATCGATGGAAGAGTTGAACAGCGTTGCTGTCAGCAGGGAGACTTTGCCACTGGTGCATGCGTTTTTTTACAGCCACTTGTAGCTAGAGGTGTGTTAATTTYCCCTGGTTGTTTCCAGGGCTTGCAGCTGGCTTCTGGTATGAAGATAATTCCATTAAGGGGGAATGCTGAGGACAGCACCTGCTTTACAGGTCAGGGCTTTCTGAAACCTTGTGTCCAGGCTGGTAAGATGTGGCTGCTGTGGTGGGTTCCTGGGGCTGGGGCGCTGAGAGGAACTTCCTGGGATTTTGCTTGGGTGCGTGTGTTTTGGGGACAAATTGGGTTGCGGGGTTTTGTTGGTTATGTGCACATTACCCGCAAATTTGCCCCGTCACCAAACCGCACGGGGGGGAGAGCACCGTGTGTGCTGGGATGAGGTGCTGAGCTGCTGAGGGATGGGTTTGATGAGGCACGAAGGGGATGAGAAGGGGCTGCACAGCCCTGGTGCTGAGGATCCCCTGCCCCTCGGTGCTGAGCATCAGGTGATGGTGCTGCTGTGGTTACCCGTGCCCACAAAATGGGGTGCGGGGTCYTGACCCCCGGCTGTCGGTGCTGCCYCACCAAAACCGATGCAAATGAGACTCTGCTGCTGCCGGGGGTGGATTTGGGGTTTGGGTTTGTTTTTGGCTCGAGGCTGAGCTCTGCAGCGGGTGCACCGCGCCAGGCGGGGAATCGAACGGAAAACGAAAGTGATGATGAACAGAAAGGAAAGCAGCACTCTGCCCCCTACCCCCGCCCCACCCCGAGCCCCCTTAAAAACGATGCTGTCGGGGGAGCCGGGCTGAGGACCAGGGCTGCCGCTCAATATTCAATTATTACTCCGGTGCCGCCTCTCCTGGCTCTGGACCGAATCTGAGCGCGGGGAATCCTGACCCTCTGCTGGTGAGCAGCGCCTCCGGGAGCGGCCCCTCTGCACCTGGGGACAGGACCGGGGGGGGGGAGACTGCGCCCCCGACGCACGGGGATGCGGGAATGGGACGGGACCGGGGTGGGAGGGTGGCACACCCAAGAGAGCCCGTCCTGTTCACTGAGATGCGGGTGGTGCTGATCCGCCGGTGCCGCTACCGGTACCGCCACCGACTCCTGCTGCCCTGGGTGCCGGTGCCCGCTCCCCTTGGTGCTCCTTGCCCCCGGTGCCTGGTGCCGGTTTCCCCACCCCGCTCCCTGTCTCTCTTGTCCGGTGTCAGCTCCCCCCACCCGGTGGCTGTCCCGGTGCCGGCTGGGGCTCCTGCCGGTGCCGGTGCCGATTCCCCCCTCCCGGTGCCAGCTCCGTGCCGGTGCCGGCTCCTGCTCCCCCCGGTGCCGGCGGGCGGGGCGGGGCGGGGCCGCCGTGATGCAATTTCCGCGAAGTCCGGCCCCGGTTTGAATGCGGGGAGGCCCCAGAAGCGAAACTGC